AAGTCTAGGTGTCTGTTTCTGTTTGGTGAACAAGTTCATTAGTGCTTTTCTTTTTTTCTAAAGATCTCATATATAAGTCATATCATTTGGTTTTTGTCTTTCTCTGTCTGACTCACTTCACTTAATATGATAACGTCTAGTTCCATCCACGTTGCTGCAAGTGGCATTGATTCATTCTTTTTCGTGGCTCAGTAATATTCCATTTTCTATATGTACCATGTCTTCTTTATCCGTTCATCTGTTGATGGGCATCTAAGTTGTTTGCATGTTTAGACTATTGTGACTAGTGCTGCAGTGAACAGATGGGTGTATACCTAACTCCTGATGGTCTTACTGTGCTTTATAAAAAATGTAGTATAAAATCCAAGTTTCCCTTGGTGGATTAGACAGTAAAGAATCCACCTGTAATGCAGGAGACCTGGGTTTGATCCCTGGGTTGGGAAGATCCCCCAAAGGAGGGCATGGCAACCCACTCCAGTATACTTTCCTGGAGAATCCCATGGACAGCGGAGCCTGGCAGGCTACAGTCCATGGGGTCCCGAAGAGTCAGATACGACTGAGCTACTAAGCACATGGAAACCTTTCCCATCTTATCGTGATTATACCCTTTTTTCTCCTGAGAAATGCTTTGACTTCACCTGGTTATCCCCCCATCACTGTGTGTTAACCTGGATTCTCTAACTTGCTTTTGAGTGGCAGGAATCCACCCATGGTGTTTATAAATGAACCAGAAGTGGGCGCGGTGTAGACCTGAGGAGTGTGTCACTTGGTGGGGGTGGTTCCTGTGGGTCTGTGGTTCTCTGCCGTGGTGGGGTTGGTTAGATATTTTCGGTTGTCGTGACTGGGGAAGGCTTGCTACTAAATACTAACATCTAGTGTGTAATGAGGCGCCTCCATTGGTCCCGTGGTTAGCACTCCACACTTTCACGGCCGTGGGTTCAGCCCCTGGTTCGGGAACTAAGATCATGCAGGGCAGGGCACCATATGCCATGCAGGGCAGCCAAAAAGAAAACCAACCAACCCCCAAAACAGAAAACAAACATCTAGTGTGCAGAGGTCATAGATGCTGCTAAACATCTTGTAATGCCTCGGACATAGCACACCTCACAACAAAGAACAGTTTGGACGAAATGTCAGGCGTGTCATGGTGGAGAAACCTTCCTGAGGAGTTACTCATCGGGGACGCCTCCTACTAAGTACTGGGCTAGTCTGCGGGCTTCAGCGACTGCCCCAGTGGATCCCAAGGGCGCTCGCACTGAACCGTCACGTGGATCGGTCATCCAGGGACCACACCTGCCACTGAGCAAGTTCTGAGTGTTTCTGTCTCTACCCACTGATACGCTGTTTTTTATTCCTCCGCGTCTCTTTGAGTGGAAGAAGGGGTGCGCTGAAAGCTGGGGGAAGGCTGAACAGGCTTAAGGCACAGAAGCCATAGGACTGGCAGACTGCAAGTGAATATGCTCAGTAGCCCTGGAGTCTGATTGGGAGGGCTGGGTGCTGATGGTGGTGGAGGCTGGGCCACCCCAAGGGTAACATCCTTCCCGGAGACGGCAGTCTTCCAAGATGACTGCAGACTGAATTTTGCAAGCCTTCCCCCAATACATATGTTTAAACATAACCCAGGTCCGTAGAGTCAAAGCTACGGTTTTTCCAGTAGTCGTGTATGGATGTGAGAGTTGGACCATAAAGAAGACTGAGCGCCGAAGAATTGATGATTTTGAACTATGGTGTTGGAGAAGACTCTTGAGAGTCCCTTGGACTGCAAGGAGATCCAACCAGTCCATCCTGAAGAAAATCAATCCTGAGTATTCACTGGAAGGACTGATGGTAAAGCTGAAACTCCAATCCTTTGGCCACCTGATGTGAAGAGCTGACTCACTGGACAAGACCTTGTTGCTGGGAAACATTGAGGGCAGGAGGAGAAGGGGATGACAGAGGACGATGAGATGGTTGGATGGCATCACCGAGTCAATGGACATGAGGTTGAGCAAGCTCCAGGAGTTGGTGATGGACAGGGAGGCCTGGCCTGCTGCAGTCCATGGGTTCGCAGAGTCGGACACAACTGAGCAACTGAACAACAATCCTCAGTGTGGAATATTTGGAAGTTCAGTCTTTAGGAGTTGATCTGGTCCCAAGGATAGGGCCTTCATGAATGCAATTAGTGCCCATTTAACAGCTTTCTTGCTCCTTGCACCTTGTGAGGTTACAGGGAAAACATAGTCATCTGTGTGGTCCATAAAGTGGTTCTCAGCAGACAGTGAACGTGCCAGTGCCTTGATCTTGCAGTTTAGCCTTGGGAACTGTGAGAAATAAGTGTCTGTGGCTGACACCACGTAGCCTGTGGGATTTTCTTACAGCATCTGGAACAGACAAAGACATACACCAGAAGCTTGACCTCTCTCCGCCCGCTGCTCCTTCAGTTGCTGAGATGTTCTCTCTCGGGGGCTCTGGCCACAGTCCACGCTGTGCCCTGGGTAGACACTCCGTAGAAGCTTCTAAGTGGAATTTTGTGGTGGGCTGAGAGATGGGTGTCCAGCCACGAGCTTGCAGCTAGTGCGTGGCATCTGTCAGACGCCGAGGGTGATCTCGGGACCCAATTCATAAAAGAAAGAGAAGGGTGCATGGGAGAGACTGCAGGCGGTCCTGTGCGTGCTTAATCACTCAGTCGTGTCCGACTCTTTGTGACCCCATTGGCTTGTCAGTCTGTGGGGATTCTCCAGGCTAGAATACCAGAATGAGTTGCCCTTCCCTTGTCCAGGGGAATCTTCCTAACCCAGGGATCGAACCCAGGTCCTCCCGCATTGCAGGCAGATTCTTTAACCGTCTGAACCAACAGGGAGGGGAGGTGGTCGTGGGGAGGCTTGCATGAATTAGGAAGCGTTCTTCAATTAGAAGCAAGACCTGGTCAATTGTGGGCACCGTGTCGGGGCTGGCGGGTGGTGTCTTGTTATTACCCCCCGGTGGGCGTGGTCCTGCTGCTCTGGACCTTGTGAAGATACTGGGAGGGAAGCAGATGACTCTCAGTTCAGCATCCTGTCCCACCTGCTGGTGGAGACACAGATAAAGAGATGGAAAAAGCCAGTGGGTCAGATGGTCACCAGGGAAGAACTGTGTAAGACAGAAACCACTGTGGCCCAGAGTACGTAGGAAGGGAGTCTGTGGGGTTGGGGCATCTCTCAGCCGACGATACCCACTCTTCTGTGTCCGCTGACCTGGGGCTTTTCTCGTGCACCCTTGCCGGAAGCTGAGTGAGAGAGCTTGGAGATTAAGACTCTCTGCGTGGCGGTGGAGATGCGGAGAATTAAGGTTGTTGGTGAAGACAGGGGTGGATGTTTCTGTTGTGGCAGGAGTGGTTAGGGCAAAGCAGGGCCAGAGACAGAACAAGTCAGAAGGAAAAACATAAGGCTGATTTGCAAAGGGCCTTCGTTGGCTCATGCCCTTCCGGCAATGGGAGTGGAGGGACCCTGTGTTGAAGAGAGAGCCTCCAAGGCGCTCTCCTACACAGCCTCAAGTAGGTGGTTCCGGCTTGTAAAGAAATAACGCAGGAAGTTAATAGCAGGCTCTACAGTATTACGCTGGAAATAAATATGAATCAAATGCCTATTGCATACATATTCTTAATAATCAGGCCATGAGGAGGAGGGGTGGGTGGAGAGAAAGGGACGTTTGCAGACAGGCCTCTCCTTGTGTGGAGCAACATTGCCATCTTGCTGACCGTTGCGTGTGTTGCAGAGGCTAGCTGTATTTGTTGACCCAGATGGAGGCTGGGGGACCTGGGGGCGGGTGGCCCATCATCCGGCTGATGAAGGGGGGTGTCCTAGGAATGTGAGGTGGGGAGGCAGTGTGCAGGCTCCCCCGTGAGACTCCCTGCTAACCCCCCTACCCACCCCAGCACATAAGATGAGCCGGTCTTGTTGGGAAGATGTTCATAAGTGGTGGAGGTGGGGTGTCCGGGACCCCCCCCACAACAGGTGACAAAGCAGAGGAGAAACTTATGCCTCAGACCATTCCTCCCCACCCACCCACAGGCCCCCAAAACCTCATTCCTGGCCCTGCAGCCTCCTTCATTGACACGGGCCTCGTGTGTTACAGCAGTCTCCTTCTTTGAAACGCGCCTCGTTTGTTACGTGTAGTCACCGGGTCAGTCTTTTCTCCCTGCGTATTTTCATCCTAGCAGCTCCACGCCCGCCTTATTTGTGAGCGCCTTTCACCTGCCTGGTATTGTCCGCACATTCGTGCAGAGGCATTTGACAAGGATGCTGCAGGGGCTTTGCAAGGAGTGTGGGACCCTTCAGCCCTTAGCCAAGGGAGTGGGTAACATGCCCAGTTCAGTAAAGCGACTCAAGGTTACCCTCGATGGGTGCAGAACTGCCCCTGTTTTTTTTCCATGGTTGGTGGTGCGCTTCATTTGCCCTGAACGCTGGGAGGGGGCTCCTGGCGACAGACACCAGCGTGAGCTTCTGGAAGGAGCCGTGCAGAACCCAGGCAGAGAGAGCCTGGGGTCCGACTTCTGTAACATCTACCCCGGGGCAGACTGTGGCCTCTGTTTTGCTTTTAATAACGCTGGGAAGGGTTAGTTGGGGTGGGGGGGGAGGGGGAAACTTCCCTGGCGGTCCAGTGGTTAAGACTCCCGAGCTCCCAGTCAGCAGCGGGGGGTGGGGGACACGGGTTCGATCCCTGGTCTGGGAACTATGGTAGCCAAAAAGGTTTTTTTTTTAATAATATAATAATAATGTGCTGGAAAGCCTCTGCTTTCTTGCTTTCTTTTCTTTTTTTTTTTTTAAAGCCTCTGCTGTTTTGCCAACTGATTCATGCAGGCACACCTTTGTCTGCCATCTGTCTCTGGGACACCACCCACACGAGAGGCTGGGCGTCCTATTACCACGTCTCCACCCCCCCTGCCCTGTCCTCATTAGGCGCGTCTGACCCCCCAGGGGTGCCTCCTACAAGTCCAGGCCTCACAGAACCCCACCCACCCCACCTCCCCTGTGTTTCCGCAGGTTTTTCCCACTCGGCGTTCACGTTCGGTATCGAGAGCCACATCAGCCAGTCCAACATCAATGGGACACTAGTGCCGCCGGCCGCCCTCATCTCCATCCTGCAGAAGGGCCTGCAGTATGTGGAGGCTGAGATCAGCATCAACGAGGTAAGGTGGGCCCTCCTCCCGGGGCTTGGGGAGGCGGGGGGGAGCAGGACGGAAGCCCTGCAGCCCCCACCCCCGGGGAGCCTGGGCGAACTGGGAAGACCTCAGCTGGGGAGTTCGCCACGGCCTCTCCCAGTGCATTAGGGTCCCCGTCTCCCTTTGTGGTAGTCCTTTTCTCCAGCAGGGGATCCTAGTGCTGTGATACCCAAGGAGCCAGCTCCCAAGGCCCCATAGATGGTTGTGGACTGGTTGGTCATGGCTGTATCACTGAGAGAGGCAATGCCTAGGCAGGTTGATAAGAAGTCCGGACTCCAGTGCCTAGGCAGGTTGATAAGAAGTCCGGACTCCTGGAGGAGGAGGTGAAGAAGGAAAAGAAGAAAGGGGTCTGGGGTTCTCGAGGTTCTGAAGATAGGGGCCTGGAATTCTCAAGGAGGAGGAAAGGACAAACATCTTTTTTTTTCCCCTTGACATTCCTAAAGTCTGAGTCACATAAAACGTTTGATTTTTTTTTTAAGCCTGAACTGATGAGTACATAAGAAACAGCTCAGTTTAAACTCTGGACTAAGGATTGGATAACAACAGTGCATCTCCTGGTTGAGGACAGTTTCTCCTTCCTGAAAACCTTCTGGCTAATCCTGTTATCTTAAAATGTAAATTTTGGGAGTGGGTCTGGTAAAGTTTTCACAAACTTTGAGACATTCTTTTGATTTATTGTAATAATTAATGAGAAAGGAGATAATAATTCCCTTGCTAACACTAGTAACACTCCATCTAGTCAAGCATATGGTTTTTCCAGCAGTCGTGTATGGATGTGAGTTGGACTATAAAGAAAGCTGAGTGCCAAAGAATTGATGCTTTTGAACTGTGATGTTGGCGAAGACTCTTGAGAGTCCCCTGGACTGCAAGGAGATCCAGCCAGTCCATTGTGAAGGAGATCAGTCCTGAGTGTTCATTGGAAGGACTGATGCTGAAGCTGAAGCTGAAGCTCCAATACTTTGGCCACCTGATGCAAAAAGCTGACTTATTTGAAAAGACCCTGATGCTGGGAAAGATTGAAGGCAGGAGGAGAAGGGGACGACAGAGGATGAGATGTTTGGATGGTATCACCGACTCAATGGACATGAGTTTGAGCAAGCTCCGGGAGTTGGTGATGGACAGGGAGGCCTGGCGTGCTGCAGTCCGTGGAGTCGCAAAGAGTCGGACTGAGCGACTGAACTGAACCGAACACTACTGAGCAGGCACTCTCCATCCCCCTTCTGATGTCTGTGTCGGAAGCTTTCTCTGTCCCATTTTATACTTTAATAAAACTTCTACTACACGAAAACTCTTGAGTGATCAAGCCTGGTCCCTGGTCCCGAAGCTAAATCGTCTTCTTGGGAGATCAAGAATCCGACACCGTTCACCGTAAAGCTATCATCATGATGCCTTGAAAGGGATGCTGATTTATGTGGTCGTCTCTCGGAGTCCGCCGGGGATTGGTTCCAAGACCTGCCGTGGGTACCAAAATCCACGGGCTGCTCAGGTCCCACAGTCAGCCCTTCTGTATCTGCGGATTCCGCCCGCCACGGAGGGCAAACACAGTGGTAAACGTGCTGAAACACATCCGCGTGTGGTGAACCCTGGGAAGTCAGACCCGCCTCGTTCAGGGCTCAGCCTTGCCCCACGGTGGGCGTGGACCTGCCACGGGCACAGAAATCGCCTTTCCTCCTGGATGTCTCTCAGCAGTTCGGTCGAAGAGGGACCCTGTGAGTCATTTCGCCTAGAGTCTTGTGTTTTGCGTGAACTTGAACGAGGGCACTCCCAGAAGATCGAAGCAGAGAGATGAGCACTGTTGAGTTTTCAACAGGGTTATTTCAAGCGATGGCTGTGTTAGAGCGCTCACTGAACAGCTGCCTCTGGGAGGTTGGGACCAGACGTGTACATTTGAGTCACTCCTGATTTACTTAGATACCCTTCCTCTTTATAAATCAGGGCACGTGAGTATCGGGTCCAATTTTACACCAGTTTTTAAATGGGTTATTGTAACCTTTTTTAAAACTCAACATTCCGAAAACTAAGATCATGGCATCTGGTCCCATCACTTCATGGCAAATAGATGGGGAAACAATGGAAACAGTGACAGAGTTTATTTTCTTGGGGCTCCAAAATCACTGCAGATGGTGACTGCAGTCAGGAAATTAAAAAGACGCTTGCTCCTTGGAAGAAAAGCTATGACCAACCTAGAGAGCGTATTAAAAAGCAGAGACATTACTTTGCCGGCAAAGGTCCATCTAGTCAAAGCTATGGTTTTTCCAGTAGTCTGTATGGATGTGAGAGTTGGACCATAAGGAAAGCTGAGCGGCAAAGAATTGATGCTTTAAAGCTGTGGCGTTGGAGAAGACCCTTGAGAGTCTCTTAGACTGCAAGGAGATCCAACCAGTCCATCCTAAAGGAAATCAGTCCTGAAATAGTCATTGGAGGGACTTCTGTTGAAGCTGAAAATCCAATCCTTTGGCCACCTGATGCAAAGAGCCGACTCATTGGAAAAGACCCTGATGCTGGGAAAGATTGAGGGCAGGAGGAGAAGGGGACAACAGAGGATGAGATGGCTGGATGGCATCACTGACTCAATGGACATGAGTTTGGGTAAACTCCGGGAGTTGGTGATGGACAGGGAGGCCTGGCGTGCTGCAGTCCATGGGGTCGCAAAGAGCCGGGCATGACTGAGTGACTGAACTGAACCTTTTTAAAGATAAAGGGTGAGGGATCGAGACAGCTCCCTTCCCCACCTGCTTTGCTTCCGTCTGGGGACTGTCCTGTGATGTCCGGGTCTTCCCAGAGTCTCGATCTGACTCCCTCTGATTATAACTACACTTAGCGCCCTTTCTCCTTCTTCCTACCCTCTTTATCTGTACCCCGCCTGCATCCAGCATACCGCTGTGCCCCAGGTCCTCGTTTTCTGTTCCAGCACGTCCAGCACAGCTACCCCGTTCCGTGGCCACACGCCCCCTCCCCTTTACCACCAGAAGTCCACTTCCATGGTCACCCCACCCTCGAGCCTGTCTCCCTGAACCCTTCCACGCTTTCCTCCGCCTGCTCTTTCCCTTTCTCATCCTGGCAAGCCCATCTTTTCTTCGTAGCGTTTGCCTCCACTTTCCCTTAGGCTTTTACGATCACTGAAGTAGCATATCTCACCTTCTCTCACGTGTATTCCTCTGCCGTTTTCCAAATTCCCGCATCTCGGAGAACCCGCGGCTGTCTGCCGACACTGTCGACAGGAGGCAATCTCCTCTTTCATTTTCTTACATTGGGTGCCCGGGATCTTCTGTTTGCAACGTGACCTCATCTAAGTCTCTCTTATTTTTTTCCACAAAACAAATGTGAGGATAGGAATACAGGACCCCAGATCTCAGATTGTGTGAGGCTGTGATTGGATTTCCCTACACACATACACACACACACATAACAGATACATATATGCACGCACATACCCACAGGCAAAGATATACACACATACCCAGAGACATACACACATGGGCATATACAGACATACACACACACATACAGGCTTCCCTTGTAAAGGCAAAGAATCTTCAGCTGGTAAAGAATCCGCCTGCAATGAAGGAGACCCAGGTTTGATTCCTGGGTCAGGAAGACCCCCTGGAGAAGGGAACAGCTCCCCACTCCAGGATTCTGGCCTGGAGAAGGGGTAACAAATGTCAGACACGACTGAGTGGCTTTCACTTTCACATACACATACAGACACACACACACATATGCACATACACACCCAGGGTCCATGCCTTTCATCTCCATACCGTCTCTCCCTTGGCAATTCAAAAATCCAGCGTTGCCTAGAGGAGGCTGAAAGGTCATCTCATTTGTCACTTAGCTTTCCGGTTGTTACAAGTGAGACAGTGTGCGTTTAGAGTTTAAGCAAGGAAGTGCTTTATTTCTCTGTGCAGTTACCCTGGGGCATGAATGTACAAAGAAAAAGGTAACGTAGAAGCCAGCTGGCCAGCCAGTCAACACTGGCCACTCCATTGGCAGAATCAGGGGATGGGGGCGGCTTCTTTTTTCCATGTTCTACATTGTTTTCTGTCGTCTCGTAATTTTCAAGTATCGTGTAGTATCTGGTAGTCAGCTGGGGTGCTGTTTCATTTGGGTACTGTGTAGTTGATAACGTATATCCTTCAGTTCTTCCTGATTTATGAGGGAAAAAACGGTCTAAAACCTGTCTGCAAATCTAGCAGACACAGCGAGAGGCCCTGAGTTTCGTGTGACTCGAATAATCAGAGCACCTTCTGAGGAAAGGACTGTCTCCCGCTCTCCTGTGTTTTCTGAGTGGGTAGGGAGAATTTTTTTCTTTTCATCTTCGATGGAAACTAGGAGACTCAGAGGAAGCTGAGGAAATAGGCATGATAAGTCAGCGGTGCCATCCTTAGCAATATCATGGCTGCGTCTGTCTGCACCCTGAGTCCCCGAAAGTCACTTCACGTGGCAGTACATGCGTGTGATGATGTCAGATGGACAGAAGCGCTCGCCGTCAGAGTTGAGGGGGCAGGACTGTCCAGCTTGAGCCCAAGACTTGTCAGAGCATCGGGCAAGGGTGGGGTCTCTCACCCTCTGCACTCTCCACTCTTGAGGACGACACCGTTCCTCTCTGGGGGTGGGGCGGGGGGCATCCTATGCACTGCAGGACATTGGGCGGCATCTCTGGTCCCTCCCCGCTACTTGCCAGCTGCACCCCCCGCAGTCGTGACCAGCAGACACACCTCCAGGTTCTCCCAGATGCCCCCCGCCCCTTGAGGGGCAGGATCGCCCCCTTCCATTGAGACCACTGCGTCAAGCGGGGCAGCCCTCGGGTCGTGACGGGAAATAGGAGGCTCGGGGTGGCCCCCTGACGTCTGGGTTCATGTTGCTGTCGACCGAGTACTGGGTGTGTACTGGCCGCCCCTTCCCAGTCCAAGTCCCAGCCTCCCCGGGGCCCCAGGCACCTGTGTTTCCGACCCAGGAGACGCCCAGTCGGAGCTGACCCCCACCCCCCGACCGGGGACTCTGTCCGCAGGACGGCACGGTGTTCGACGGCCGCCCCATAGAGTCCCTGTCCCTGATCGACGCGGTGATGCCGGACGTGGTGCAGACGCGGCAGCAGGCCTTCCGGGAGAAGCTGGCCCAGCAGCAGGCGGCCGCGGCGGCAGCAGCCGCCGCTGCAGCAGCCGCAGCAGCAGCGGCCACGACGGCGGCCCCCGCGGCCGTTTCCCAGCAGAACCCACCAAAGAACGGCGAAGCCACGGTCAACGGAGAGGAGAACGGCGCACACGCCATCAGTGAGTGCAGGGCGCCCGGTCCCAGCAGGTTTCTCTGGTGTCCTCCAAGTCTGGCTGGGTCCGCTGGACGGCGCCCTGCAGGCCGTGGCTAGCATTTGCTTGCTCTGCACCCAGGACAGCTTCTTCCTCCAATTTTTCCATCGAAAACCTTAGGCATGATCTTCTCTTTTTTGTTTCAATTGGAGGATAATTAATGAACAGTATCGTGTTGGTTTCTGCCATCCATCAACACCAACGTCTGCATAAATATACATAGCTCCCCTGCCATCCATCAGCATGAATCAGCCATAGGTCTACACATGTCCCCTCCCTCTTGAAGCTCCCTCCCAGCCCATCTCATCCCTCTAGGTTGTTCACAGAGCTCCCTGCATCAGAATAGTGTATTCCTGTGCAAGTATGCTAAGTCGTTTTCGTTGTGTCCACCTCTTTCGTGACCCCCGTGGACACTCGCCCGCCAGCCTCCTCCGTCCATGGGATGCTCCAGGCCAGAATACTGGGGTGTGTGTAGCCATTCCCTTCTCCAGGGGATCTTCCCGACTCAGGGATCAGACCTGCATCTCCTGCATTATTAGTAGGCAGGTTCTTTACCATCTCAGCCACCAGAGAAGCCCAGAGAACCTCCTGCCTACAAATTCAGAGACAGCTTCAAGGAAGTTCTACGTTCAGAGTGTGTGTGTGTGCGTGCCTGTGAGTCTCTGCCAGTGCGTGTTCTTCCCTGTTTTGAACGCCCCTTCCCTCCAAGCAGCTGTGCATCCCTGAGGAAGCAGCTTGTCATCTCTGGGCCGAGCCTCTCACCACTGGAGATGTGGAGTCGGGACATGGCTCCACCCCTGGACAGAGAGAAGGGCCAGGCTGCCATGCAGGACGGCTTCAAGAACTGTCCGTGTGCAGTGTCAAATCAAATGACCTTCCAATAATCAGTGTTCACAAGATTCGCAAGGATGGGGGGCCAGGAAAGGAGAAGAAAAGATAACGTGGCTTGTGCCCACACGTCATTTGTGGGCTGGCCCACCCCCCTGGGGTCTCTCTGTCTTGGTGCTCAAAGTAAAACAGGAAAAAGGTGGACATCCTTGCTTGCTTCAGCCACCAGCCCACAAGGTGAACTTCCCTGTTTTCTTCATCTTTCACCCCAGAAAGGAAGCATAATTAGTGAGCTTAGAGAAATCTACTTACCTACTACTCTGACAGAAATCTTGCAAACTTTTAAACTGAACGTTGTCTTTCAGTCTAAAACCCCAAGGGAGCATAGCCTCATGGAGACAGGTACAGCTTAAGGTGCGCTGGAAGCTCCTGGCTCCTCCTTCGTTTGAAGGGGCCTTTGCAGTGGGGTTTCTTCCCACCTGAGGGCTGGCTGCCTCCCCCCCAGACGCATACACACACATGCAACATCTACTGGTTTCCGGCTTCCATTCTGTCCCACCTGCTCTTGTTAAAAGGCAACTGCAGCCAGACTTTCAGAGTCTGAAGTTAGACTTCATCCTGACCTTCAAGAACCTTCTTTCATGCGCCGCATAGAAGGGAAAAAAAATGGGTCCACTTTGCAGGACTTTGCTGGGGGCTCCCATGGTAAAGAATCTGCCTGCTGTGCAGGAAACTCACAGCTTCAATCCCTGGGTGGGGAAGATCCCCTGGAGGAGGATATGGCAACCCACTCCAGTATTCTTGCCAGGGGAAATTCCATGGACAGAGGAGCCTGGCAGACTACAGTCCATGGGGTCACAAAGAGTCCGGCATGACTGAGCGACTTAACACTACAGCATGATCCAGGATGAGTCCTCCTGGGTGACGTCTACCATGACTGGTCGCCACCACCCTTTCACAACCTGGAGTCCCTGTTGGGTCATCTGGGGTGTGGCTGCATGGCTTCAAGAGCCTGGAACACACTTGGCTCCAGTAGGAAAATAGCATTTGAGTCCCAAGACCATGAGGGTGTTTGCAGGCCAAGGGGTTGTGGGTGGTGAGCCTTCTGGAAGAAGGATGGTGTGTCCACATGGGAGCTCCGTAGGTAAGCAGGTGAGACCTCAGGAAGGTGTAAGTGTCTTATAAAATCACTTGTCCCGTCAACAGGAAGGAACTTTTGCTGAAAATACTTTTATGCGTATCCTAATTATTCCCAGTGTCACTTGAACTGTAGCTTGCATTCTAGCAGCAATGTTTGCAACTGACTTGTTCTTCAGTTGCTAAGTTGTTCACCAGTAAAGATCTCGTCTGCCGATGCAGGAGACGTTTAAGAGATGTGGGTTCGATCCCTGGGCTGGGAAGATCCCCTGGAGGAGGTAACGGCAACCCACTCCAGTATTTTTGCCTGGAGAATCCCCATGGACAGAGAAAGCGGGTCACAAAGAGTCCGACACGACTTAGGGACTAAACAGCACCAACACAGCTTACGTTCTAGGCGTATACCAAAGAGTGAGATAGCCTTTGGTATTCAGAAACCCCTAATTTCACTTGTGCTGCTGTTCATTCATTGGTGTCTGACTCTTTGAGACCCCATGGGCTTTAGCACGCTCATGTTCCCTGTCTATCACCATGTCCCGGAGTTTGCTCAAACTCACGTCCATTGTGTCGATGACGCATCCTCTGTCGTCCCCTTCTCCTCATAGACTTCTTAGGAAAATATAACAGAATATGCTTCTTTTTACTGTAGAAATAAAAGAGAGAGAGAAGGAACCTTTAAAGTCTGCTCAAGAGACAGCTGTGTCCAGTCTTATTCCCGCTGTTATTACCTATGAGCCTGGCCCTAGTTAGAAAGAATAAACGCCGGCTGTTACTCCCCTATCAGATTGGGAGGCTGTGAGGAAGTGTGGCTTCACAGAAGGTTATATAGAAGCCATCACCTGGTTATAATCGTCACAAGTGAGCTGACATCACAGCGGAGGAAGTTGTCCGTAAAGCTTACGTGCCCTGAGGAGGGATGGGTTTCTTCGGTGTCAGCCACACACGTGTCCTGTCCTGTTCCCCTCGGCAGATAATCATTCGAAACCAATGGAAATCGACGGAGACGTGGAGATCCCACCCAGCAAGGCCACCGTCCTTCGGGGCCACGAGTCCGAGGTGTTCATTTGTGCCTGGAACCCTGTCAGTGACCTCTTGGCTTCAGGGTAAGGGGTCAGGCCGGGGGTGCCCGGGGTCCAGGTGTCCGAGTCTTCCAGGGTCAGGTTTGGGGTGCCTGGGTTCCAGGTGTCCATGTCCTCCAGGGTCAGTTAAGGGGTGCTCGGGGTCCGGGTGTCCGAGTCCTTCCTCCTGGGACAGACACTCCCTACGTCGTGTGCAGCATCTTTCTAGTGTACGGACCAGGGCTTTGAGTGGGGGTGTCTAAGACTGTGCAAAAGTCCTTATTCAGCTGTTTTCCCAGCCATGCGGAAAGCTATGCACTGACATTTAAAATGATTAAGGGCACCTACGACTGGAAAGAGAAAACCACTGTGATTTTTTTTGTTTTTGAGACACGTTATAGAGGCGGGGAGACCCAGCCGTGCGGCAAGCAGCGGTGGGCGGTGCTTGCTCTGGGACCGGGCGCTGAGTGCCGGGTGTGTTCCTTGCGCAGGTCCGGAGACTCGACCGCCAGGATATGGAACCTGAACGAGAACAGCAACGGCGGCTCCACGCAGCTGGTGCTGCGGCACTGTATCCGGGAGGGGGGCCACGACGTCCCCAGTAACAAAGACGTCACCTCGCTGGACTGGAACGTAAGCCGCCTCCCTCCCGGACGCCGTCAGGGACACCTGTGTGGCCCCTGTGGCCTCAGCAAGGGCTGTGGCGTCGGATGGAGCTGGGGCGGACCCCAGGAAGGGGACGGGATTGTGGGTCAGCCCACCCGGGGATCTGGGTGGGCCCCCCACCCACCCCACCCCCCGCTTTCTGAGCACTGCTTCTGAGGCTGTCCGCATCGGCAGACCGCCAGCCGGGTGGTGTTCAGTAAGCTACGTGTCGGCAGGAGCAGTCTGGCGGCTTTATCCGGGAGCCTGTTATGTGGGGCTACCCTGTGAGGTGTGCCCAGGGAAAAGCTGACTTCCCACCCGAGCCTCAGCGTCTGTGCCCGGACATACACACAGCTCTCCAGCGTCTTTTCACTTTGTCTTTATCATGTTCTTTTTTTGGTTTTGGACTATACAGTTTACTTATTTATTTTTTCTGTTTTCCATTTTATTTTTTTTAACTTATTTATTTTAATTGGAGCCTAATTACTTTACAATATTGTAGCGGTTTTTGCCATATACTGACATGAACCAGCCATGGGTGTACACGTGTTCCCCATCCTGAACCCCCCTCCCACCTCCCTCCCCATCCCATCCCTCTGGGTCATCCCAGTGCACCAGCCCCCAGCATTTGTCTCATGCATCGAACCTGGACTGGCGATCTGTTTCACATATAATAATATATATGTTTCAATGCCATTCTCTCAGATCATCCCACCCTCGCCTTCTCCCACAGAGTCCAAAAGTCTGTTCTATACACCTGTGTCTCTTTGCTGGCTACATATAGGGTCATCGTTACCATCTTTCTAAATTCCATATATATGCCTTAGTATAGTATATTGGTGTTTTTCTTTCCGGCTTACTTCAGTCTGTATAATAGGCTCCAGTTTCATCCACCTCATTAGAACTGACTCAAATGCATTCTTTTTTAATGGCTGAGTAATATTCCATTGTGTATATGTACCACAGCTTGCTTATCCATTTGTCTGCCGAGGGACATCTAGGTTGCTTCCATGTCCTGGCTATTATAAACAGTGCTGCGATGAACATTGGGGTGCACGTGTCTCTTTCAATTCTGGTTTCCTCGGTGTGTATGCCCAGCAGGGGAATTGCAGGGTCATATGGCAGTTCTATTTCCAGTTTTTTAAGGACTCTCCACACTGTTCTCCATAGTGGCTGTACTAGTTTGCATTCCCACCGACAGTTTATCACGTTCCTGTATGTCCTGTCATTTCATCACAGACTCTTCTCTCGTCAAAGTGTCTGCAGCTCTTTTTCAAAGCTCACCTGGGTCTCCCAGAGTCACACAGTAACTTTCGAATGGTGTCTTGTTGGTGTCGTCAATGGTGATGGGGTGCGCTGTGTTTTGCTTGCCCCCTGGCCTTGTGCTGATTTGGGGTGTGGGAAGTCTGGGACCTTCCTGGTGGTCCAGGGGTCAGGAGTGTTCACCTCTATTGCAGGGGCAGTGAGTTCGATCCCTGCTCCGGGAATGCAGGTCCCGTGTGCAGCCTCTAATAAATAGTTTGTGTTGATATGTGTTTCTGGCCCACAGAGCGACGGGACACTGTTGGCTACAGGTTCCTATGATGGTTTTGCAAGAATATGGACAGAGGATGGTAAGTCCTCCTGGCCCCACCTCCCTCGCGTTAGGGTTGGAGGAGGGGATGCTTTGAATTGTCATCCTCTGGGGTTACAGACCTGGCTGGTCTCAGAAGTCACCCTGCTTTCTCTGTTTTTAACATCCCAGGTAACCTGGCCAGCACCTTAGGCCAACATAAAGGCCCCATCTTCGCCTTGAAGTGGAACAAGAAGGGGAATTACATTTTGAGTGCTGGAGTAGACAAAGTGAGTGTTTGCGTAAGATACACTGCTTTTTCATCTGTGTTTAGTCTCTCGGGAAACATCACGGTTTCTTGGAATTCTGAAAATTCTGCCTCCCCTTAAGAAATCAAAGGGGTCTTGTTTAGGTTTTGTGAGCTTCTGTGGTTTTGATCTTCTGGTATTCTAGGGCCTCTGAGTGAGAGACTGTCTACCGTGATGAATCAACTAAGGCAGGAATGATAGCAATGTTCTTGAAACTGATATATTCTCAGGGAGGAAATTTAAGTTAGGGACACTGGCTTTGACCCTCAGTGAACTAAAAATCCTATAAACCACACAGTGGAGTGGGGGATAAAACTGTGAATTGTTCTAGAGCTTCCCAGGTGGCGCTAGCGGTAAAGAACCCGCCTGCCAGTGCAGGAGACTTATAAGCGACGTGGGTTCGATCCCTGGGTCGGGGAAGATCCCCTGGAGGAAGGCATGGCAACCCATTCCAGAGTTCTTACCTGGAGAATCCCGTGGACAGAGAAGCCTGGTGGACTTATAGTCCATGGGGTCTCAGAGAGTCAGACACAACTGAATTGACTTAGTGTTAGAGCTGGCCTGAAGTTTTTCAGACACATTCAATGCTGTCAGTATTTCTCCAGGAACATTAACGCAGTTGATACAAAAAGAGAACCAGTTCTTCCTAAAGGAAGATCTTTGTTAAAATGTCATTGACAGGGAGGTGTCAAGTTTCCAATTTGGCTGAAAATTCCAGTTGAGAATTAATTCCAAATGTTTTGCATTGAGCTGCCTCCAGCTTCGTCCCCAAGTGTCTCCCCAACACTATAATGTGTTCATAAGCATTCGTGACTTCCTTTGTCTTCTGGGGTTGGAGATCCTTTTTTTTTTTTCTCCTTAATATGGGGGTGGGGGGGAAATGCATATCTAATACCACCTTTTGGGGCAGTGTTCCAATTGTAAACCTGCAGAATAATACCCCAAAAGGCGGTATTAGATATGCATTTCCCCGCCCCCAATAGTTTTTCATGTTTGGGAATTCCCTGGTGGGCCAGGTGGTGAAGACTCTGCCTTCTGGTACAGAGGGCCACACCTTTGATCCATGGCTGGGGAAGCTTAAAGATCTCACGTCCTGTGGAACCAAAAATCTTTTCATTTAAAAAGGAAGAGTCTTTTTTTTTTTTTTTTTAATGATAGGTTTTCAAGTTTGAGGATATAGATGGGATTCCCACCAAAATTGGTAGTTTCCTGCATATCAGTTACGGCTGCCGTTGTCCAGAGGCGTATAATGAGCAGACGCATGTGACTGAGTTCATAAGTGTGACGTCTGGGTGATTTAAGTCTGTAAGACACACACATCCAAAGAGCGGGCGAAAAAGACGCAGGCCACGTGATACGAACATATTGATTCACGTTGAAGTGACAACATTTTCACTGTGCTGGAGTGAAATAAACTATATATTGTGAAAATCAGTTTTACTGGTTTCTTTTTTTTTTTTTTTTAATTTTTTACCGTGCCTGCTAGAAATTTTTAAGTTGAGCAGTGCTGGTTTAGAAAAAAAGGGGCTCACTGTGTTCTCATGTGTGACAAATTTTTCAGGAGAAAACGTTGCGGGGGGAACCAGTATTTAAATTTTTTGTTTCTTTATTTTTTTGCGGAGCACAGACAACAATAATCTGGGACGCTCACACAGGAGAAGCCAAACAACAGTTTCCGTTTCATTCCGGTGAGTATTTTCGTATTTTTCCTTTTTTTTTTTTTTCTATTTTACTTTTCTTGTTTTTAATTCAAAAATAAGAGTTTGGAGTCCTGAGACGGGTCTCTTAAAGTAAGGGTGAATGCTCGGAAGAAGGAATGCCTCAAGAGCAGTGCTGAGCGTGCGGGGTGGACGTTTGCTGATACATCGGGCGGCCCTGAGGTGATGTGTTGGCAGATATCCGAGGGTCCCTCCTGCCGGGCAGATCTGGGTTCCTGGTGATGCTCAGACCCACAGGGCTGGCCCCCAGGACTCTCCAAGCCAGCGCGTTCCACCTCAGTACCTGGGAGGGGTCCAAGCAGGCGGGAAGGGCTATGGTTCTGCAGGAGCAGGCTGAGAGGAGAGGTTCCCCGCAGGGCCCTCGACACGACTATGGGAAAGGCGCACGGTCGTTCGTTCCCTCCTGGCTCAGCCGGCAGAGCCCCAGAGGGTCCCGTGCATACCTGGCCCCCCGGAGAGGCAGTCAGCCCACGCGTTCCGTGGCTGTGCTTGGGGACACCACATTGCACACATCTCGGGGGGGTGCTGATGAAGGTGGGAGTCGCTGAGCCTTTTGTAGAATGACGTTTCCCCTCCAGGAGGTGGGCAGGGCTCCAAGAGCAGGGAGCTTGGTGGCCCAACCTGTGAGCATGTGTATGTGGGTCTGTGTGTGTGTGTGTGTTTCTGCGTGTGTCTTGTGACGGGGCAGAACCTTGCCAGGGTTCTGATTCCTGGTGCATAGCACCAGTGTGCTCCCGTGATGGGGGCGGATGTCTGTAACACACACAGCTGTCACTTCTGATTTTCTCAGAGAGTCATGTGCCCAAGATAAACTCGAAAGAGTTTTCATCTTGAGGACTCGTGTACTGAGTCTTTCAGCAGGATGTAAATTTTCCCCAGAGCATTCCCAAGGTCCCAGGCTTTCTATCCCGTGGGCCGTGTGTCTCTTCTGTCCTCAGGGAGCTTCTGACCTGGGGTGTTGCTGCCCACGAAATCGACCCGTATCCCGTCGCTGGGTCGGCTCTGGGTGTCATTTCCTCTTGCTTTTTGAGCGTGAAGCGGTGTGGTGGACGCTGTCCAAGATGGAAGAGAAGGGAGCGTGCTTTTGTTCAAGCTGGAGGGACAGCCGTCCTCAGCATGTGATGCGTTGATCTCAGCAGCTGCCTTGCTTCTCCGGAGGTGTTCCCCGTGAAGGCCTGGTCGGGGTGTCCTTGGTCAGCAGGAAGCGTTAGGCCTTAGAGCCTAGCAGTGTCCCAGCGCTCAGCAACGAGAAAGAACAGGTTTAAAACAAGTGCAGGGGCTTCCCTAGCGGCTCAGTGGTAAAGAATCTGCATGCAATGCCGGAGACCCAGGTTCAATCCCTAGGTCGGGAAGGTCCCCTGGAGGAGGGCATGGCAACCCTCTCCAGTATTCTTGCCTGGAGAATCCCACGGACAGAGGAACCTGGCGGGCTACAGTCCATGGGGTCACAAAGAGTCAAAACTGAGGGGCTGATTTTTTTTTTTTACAGTTTTCTGCCACTCAGCCATGAGAAGGAATAGATTACCAATACACTGTTTTGAAATTTTTTTTTTCAATAGACTGTTGATGATACCGTCCAAGCCACGAAGGTCAAATTACAGCTCAGGACCTAACTAGTGGCTCAGATTGTAAAGAATCTGTGTGCAATGTAGGAGACCCAGGTTTGATCCCTGGGTTGGGAAGATTCCCCTGGAGAAGGAAATGTCAGCCCGCTCCAGTGTTCCTGCCTGGAAAATTCCATGGACAGAGGAGCCTGGTGGGCTCTTCAGTCCATAGGGTTGCAAAGAGTCAGGCACATCTGAGTGACTCATAAGATGGGTAATACCCAACGGCTTGGATAGGTCTCAAGGGGGTTCTGCAGTTTGGAAAAAAAAATAATAAAGTTAGACTCCCAAGTATTACATGCTGGGTGACATACCATTTATATCTCAGTCCAGGGAGGGGATGGTGGGCCAGTAACATGGCCCAAGGGAGGTCCTGGTGGTGTTGGAACACGCTTGTGGCTCTTGAACGTGGTGGTGGTTACACGGATCGGCCCTTGAGATCATTCACCATCTCCCAGAGCTTGCTCAAACTCATGTCCATTGAGTCGGTGGTGTCATCCAACCATCTCATCCTCTGTCGTCCCCTTCTCCTCCCGCCTTCAGTCTCTCCCAGCATCAGGGTCTTTTCCAATGAATCAGTCCTTCCCATCAGGCAACCAAAAGTATTGCAGCTTCTGCATCAGTCCTTCCAATGAATATTCAGGGTTGATTTCCCTTCGGATTGACTGGTTTGATCTCCTGGCTGTCCAGAGGACTCTCAAGAGTCTTCTCCAGCACCACAGTTCCAAAGCATCAATTCTATAACCTTTTCTCAATTAAAAATTAAAAGGAAGAGGCAAAGTGAAGCTTGCCTGTACCTGGAGCAAAGTGCTGATGGTCAAACGTCATTGGCCAGGTGTGAGCAGGGAGGTCACCCAGACCCGCTGGAACAGCTGAGCCCTGGATCATGACTAATGGGGGGGAGGGCAGGGTCCCAGCAGCAGTGTGGACGTATACCGACGGCCCCAGTCAGCTGAGTACACAGCGTCCTCCGTTCAGATGGCCGGGGCTCAGCACACGTTAGTTTTTATGGCCAGGTGCCGCTTACCATCCCCGGAACCGCGTGCCAGATTGTCACCCTTCCAGGCGTATTAACTGCACGCCCGAAGGCACAGACCGGCCTGGGAAATCTGTGACTCGGCTCATGCGTGCGGTGTTAAAAACAAGGGCAGCTGCGGGCTTTGCTTCCTCGCTCCCTGGATCGTCCTGCTGAGCGGATCCAGCTCCTTCATTCTGTCGGGCGCGTGTGGCACATTCAGCAAGAGCCGTGGATCTGTGCTGAACCCCGCCTTCGTGGGTTGTTGAGAAAAAGCCAGCGTTGCCTCTCTGCGAAACCCTCCCAGCTCAGGCTCTGTGAGGGGATGGGGCTAGACGTGGAAGCTGATGGGGTCCGTCCTGCAGTTCTGGAAGGCAGGAGGGTGGACGGGGTGCTCCTCTGGTTTGAAGGTTAAGAACGGGGCCTTCCCTGGTGGTCCGGTGGTTAAGAGTCTGCCTTTGCAAGGCAGGAGACTTGGATTCGATCCCTGACCGGGGAGGATACCGTGTGCCACGGAGCAAGTAAATGCGTGCCTTCCAACTCCCAAGTCTGTGCTACCCGACAAGAGAAGCTGCCTCAATGAGAAGCCCCGCACACCTCAGCTAGAGTCACCCACACAGCAACCAAGACCCAGCACAGCCAGAAATTGTTCAGTCACTCAGACGCGTCCGACTCTTTGTGACCCCATGGACCGCAGCACACCAGGCCTCCCTGTCCATCACCAGCTCCCGGAGTTTGCTCAGACTCTTGTCCATCGAGTCGGTGATGCCATCCAACCATCATCCTCTGTCGTCCCCTTCCTCTCCCGCCTTCAATCTTTCCCATCTTCAGGGTCTTTTCCAATGAGTCGGCTCTTTGCATCAGGTGGCCAAAGTATATTTTAAAAATTAATAAATATATGTTGAAGGCTAAGGATGGGAGGGGGTCGTCCAATTTATCCTGTCCTGGGTGAGCTGAATTCTTGGCCCATGTCAGTGCTGACTTACGTGTAAGGAACACACATGAGACAAGGTTGGGTATTTATCAGTTGGTGAAGATCTGAGCAGAGGCTTGCAGGACTTAACCTTCCTTTTCCGTAGAAGCAGGGATGTGTCCGGAGAGAACGAGGGGTGCTGAGTCATCTCCTGGGGAGGATGGCATAAGGGAAGAGGGTTGTCACATCCCCCAAACCTTCACAGAGGTCTTAAAGCCAGCGGCCTGAGAATGGCCCAAGACCTAGAAACGGTGTCCATCCTGAGGCCACCGGTCTCCCCTCAGATGTCCTCGTCAACTCAGCATCTTCAAGCTGTAGAACGCAGTCACGGGTTGTGGGGCATTTCTTTTCAACACTGATACCTTGAACATGGGGCTTCCCTGGTGGTTCAGATGGTGAAGAATCTGCCTGCCGTGCAGAAGACCTGGGTTCCATCCCTGGATCAGGGAAGATTCCCTGGAGAAGGGGATAGCAACCCACTCCAGCATTCGTGCCTGGAGAATCCCATGGATGGAGGAGCCTGGTGGGCTACAGTCCACAGGGTCGCAAAGAGTCAGATATAACTCAGCGAGAGGCACACACACATTGAACATACTCTGTGAAGTCTTTTTCAAATCCATCACCCAGCCCGGTGGTGTTCCTGGGAGCAGCAAGGTGCTTCTCCCCTCCCGTCCCATCTGCACCAGGGGAGCGAGATGCTGTGTGCTTAGGGCACCCGAAGCGTCACTTTGGGTGGTGTTTTCAGGGTGGTGGGGGGGTCTCTCTCTGGAGCTGTCTGGTCATCCATGCAAACATAAACGACAGACCTCAGGGTCTGTGACGGACCGAGGCCGTGTTGGCACGGCGCGTGTTGCTTCGTCACATCGTCAGATTTCTCAGCTCTGCTGCTGCTCTTTCTGAGTCAGCTGAGGTCTGCATACCTGCTGAATGCCCGTGTCATCCCCTCTCCCCCACCCCTGCCCCCGTGGCCTCTCCGCAGCCCCTGCTCTCGACGTGGACTGGCAGAACAACACTACCTTTGCCTCCTGCAGCACGGACATGTGTATTCACGTCTGCAGACTCGGCTGCGACCGCCCCGTCAAAACGTTCCAGGGACACACGGTGAGTGTGAGTCCTCACTGTGGGTCCTCGGGTTCACGAGAGGTGTGTGGGGAGCTGGGAAACCGGCTAGTCTCTGCCTGGGATCAAAAGCCCACTTACTGTGACTGCTGACTTATTCTCTTACAGCCTCCTCGGGGCTATTGTAGCCACCTCTGATGGTCAGCTATCCACTGGGTTGGCAGTGTTTTAATTATCTGGTATAAGCCAGGTGTTGGATTTTGCAGGAAAGACTTTAAAGTAGCTATTATAAAAATGTCTGAGGACATAAGAGGGGGCGGGGAGTGAGTAGGAATATGACTCTTAAAGTCAGCTTTGAAATAACTTACTGGTTTTATACTGGTTTCTAGGTAAATTCATTTGGCTTCCTTCTCAGATGTGATTTTTTCCCCCCTTGGAGAAATATGGCTCAGGGTAGCTGGCGTATAGGGCGTATGACTGTGCACTTTCTATCAAGGAGGAAGGAGAAAAGGAAATATGCCTGAAACTTGGAGTGGTGCTTGCTTATCCAGGGTGAATGCAAGCAGGCTTGCAGAGATGACAGAGCGCTCCTGCCCCCTGCTAGAAAGTTGTGTTAGTTCAGTTCCGTCGCTCAGTCTTGTCCGAATCTTTGCGGCCCCCTGGACCACAGCACGCCAGACCTCCCCGTCCATCACCAACTCCCGGAGCTCGCTCAAACTCATGTCCATCAAGTCGGTGATGCCATCCAACCACCTCATCCTCTGTCGTCCCCTTCTGCTCCCACCTTCAGTCTTTCTCAGCATCAGGGTCTTTTCAAGTGAGTCCACTCTTCGCACCAGGTGGCCAAAGGATTGGAGCTTCAGCTTCAGCATCAGTCCTTCCAATGAATATTCAGGACTGATTTCCTTTAGGATGGACTGGTTGGATCTCCTTGCAAAGGATGGACTGGTTGGATCTCCTTGAAGTCCAAGGGACTCTCAAGAGTCTTCTCCAACACCACAGTTCAAAAGCATCTGCTCAATTTTCTTTATAGTCCAACTCTCCCATCCATACATGACTACTGGAAAAACCATAACTTTGACTAGACGGACCTTTGTCAGCAAAGTAATGTCTCTGCTTTTTAGTATGCTGTCTAGGTTGGTCATAACTTTCCTTCCAAGGAGTAAGCGTCTTTTAATTTCATGGCTGTAGTCACTGTCTGCAGTGATTTTGGAGCCCCCCAAAATAGTCTGCCACTGTTTCCACTGTTTTCCCATCTATTTGCCATGAAGTGATGGGACTGGATGCCATGATCTTAGTTTTCTGAATGTTGGGTCTTAAGCCAACTTTTTCACTCTCCTCTTTCACTTTCATCAAGAGGCTCGTTAGTTCTTCTTTGCTTTCTGCCATAAGGGTGGTGTCATCTGCATATCTGAGGTTATTGATATTTCTCCCGGCAATCTTGATTCCAGCTGGTGCTTCTTCCAGCCCAGCGTTCCTCATGATGTACTCTTCATATAAGTTAAATAAGCAGGGTGACAATATACAGCCTTGATGTACTCCTTTCCCTGTTTAGAACCAGTCTGTTGTTCTATGTCCAGTTCTAACTGTTGCTTCCTGATCTGCATATAGATTTCTCCAGAGGTAGGTAAGGTGGTCTGATATTCCCATCTCTAAGAATTTTCAAGAGTTTATTTTGGTCCACACAGTCAAAGGCTTTGGCATAGTCAATAAAGAAAGAAGTAGATGTTTTTCTGGAACTCTCTTGGTTTTTTAATAATCCAGCAGATGTTGGCAATTTGATCTCTGGTTCCTCTGCCTTTTCTAAATCCAGCTTAAACATCTGGAAGTTCATGGTTCATGTACTGTTGAAGCCTGGCTTGGAGAATTTTGAGCGTTACTTTACTAGCGTGTGAGATGGGTGCAATTGTGCAGTAGTTTGAGCATTCTTTGGCATTGCCTTTCTTTGGGATTGGAATGAAAACTGACCTTTTCCAGTCCTGTGGCCACTGGTGAGATTCCCAGATTTGCTGGCATATTGAAGGCAGCCCTTTCACAGCATCATCTTTAGGATCTGAAATAGCTCAACTGGACTTCCATCACATCCCCTAGCTTTGTTCATAGTGATGCTTCCTGAAGCCCACTTGACTTCACATTCCAGAATGTCCGGTTCTACGTTGATGATCACACCATCGTGATTATCTGGGTCTTGAAGATCTTTTTTCTACAGCTCTTCTGTGTATTCTTGCCACCGCTTCTTAATATCTTCTGCTCCTGTTAGGACCATATCACTTCTGTCCTTTATTGAGCCCATCTTTGCGTGAAATGTTCCCTTGGTATCTCTTAATTTTCTTGAAGAGATCTCTAGTCTTTCCCATTCTATTGTTTTCCTCTATTTCATTGCATTGATCGCCGAGGAAGGCTTTCTTGACGTTCTTTGGAACTCTGCATTCAAATTGTGTTACAGGTGCCAGGCCTTTTGCAGTGAGGACAGCGCTCCTGCCCCCTGCTGGACGCTTGTGCTTACTACGCCCAGGCCGTTTCCTCCCCGTCCCTCCCATTTATTTTTATTATACTCCCAGGCTCTTTGCATAGAAGCCAGAGCGCTCCTGCCCCCTGCTGGACGCTTGTGCTTACTACTCCCGGGCTGTTTTTTTTTTTCTTCTTCTTCTTCTTCTTTCTTTCCCCCATTTATTTTTATTATACTCCCAGGCTTTTTGCAGAGAAGGCAGAGCGCTCCTGCCCCCAGCTGGAAGCTTGTGTTTCCTACTCCCAGGCCTTCATTTCTTTCTTTTTTTTAAACCTCTGGCTCTCTTGCAGAATGAGGTCAACGCCATCAAATGGGATCCCTCTGGCATGTTGTTAGCCTCCTGTTCTGATGACATGACACTGAAGGTAAGGCTGGTATGACCCGAGGTGACCCCCGGAGCCCCGGCGCTGTCTTCAGTCCCAGTGCTGCTCCTGCAGCTGACCGTTGTGCCGTGAGCTCCCTTGCTCTCTGTCGTCGTTTCTCTTTGCAAACGGCATGCCGCTTGCCCCGGCAGTGAAGCCCTGTTTATTGGCCACGGTCCCGCGGAGCCTCCTTCCATTCCTGAGGCCTTTCTCCCATCCAAGTACTAACTAGACCCAACCGGACCCTGCCTAGCTTCTGAGGTCAGACCAGGGTCGTTTGGACTGCACCCCACCCCCAACCGGCCCCGGCCTTTCTCACGGGCCCCCCGTGATGGTCAGCAGACGCCTCTGCCCGTTGTCAGCCGCCCACCCCGCTGGCCGTGAGCTTCCCAGAGACAAGAGAAACCTCTGTAATGCTCCAAGCAGGAACGGTGCCGAACCTCCCGCCGGATGGGAGAATCAGCGTTTGCTCACCATGATCCCGTTGTGTCCCCTAGATCTGGAGTATGAAGCAGGACACGTGTGTCCACGACCTTCAGGCGCACAGCAAAGAGATATACACCATCAAGTGGAGTCCCACTGGTCCGGCCACCAGCAACCCCAACTCCAGCATCATGCTGGCAAGGTAATGGACAGACAGCCCGCACCCGTCTCGGTTCCTGAAAGCTCCCTCGATCGCTGAGGCTGTGCCAGCCAGGCAGCCGATAAAAGTCACTCATGTCCCCAAGAGACCACGAGATGCTGTCAGGGTGTCTTGCAAACGTGTTTATGCCCTCAGATGCTAAAGAGTCTGCCTATAATGCAGGAGACTTGGGTCCGATCCCTGGGTTGGCAAGATTCCCCTGGAGAAGGAAATGGCAACCCACTCCGGTATTTTTTCCGGGAGAATCCCAAGGACAGAGGAGCCTGCCAGGCTATAGTCTGTGGGGTCGCAGAGAGTTGGACATGACTGAGTGACTCACACTCAAAGTTACTTAGAAACTAACTCAAGCAGAGACACCGCTCACTGTGAAAGGGCTGCGAGGTAGAGGTTATCACGTCATGGCTAAGTTGAGATGAGGATGCTTTTAACCTTGAGGCTGGAGGGAGGAATCGCATACCTCCAGTTTCCCGGCACTTTGCTTTGATGAAGCTTTCTACTACAACTGAAGAAAGGAAGCAATTTAACTTGGACCTTGCACTTGGTTGGGCTTCCCTGATAGCTCAGTTGGTAAAGAATCCGCCTGCAATGCAGGAGACACTGGTTCGATTCCTAGGTCAGGAAGATCCGCTGGAGAAGGGATGAGGCTACCCACTCCAGTATTCTTGGGCTTCGCTTGTGGCTCAGCTGATAAAGAATCTGCCTGCAATGTGGGAGACCTGGGTTTACTCCCTGGGTTGGGAAGATCCCCTGGAGAAGGGAAAGGCTATCAACTCTAGTATTCTGGCCTGGAGAATCCCATGGACTGTATAGTCCAGGGGGTCACAAAGAGTCAGACATGACTGAGCGACTTTAACTTCGGGCTTGGTTTACTTGGCCCAACTTGGCTGCAGGTGGGAAGAATGTTGAATGGTGATAAAAGGTCCCCCAGCCGATACCAGATCCAGTCTAACTGTCCATCCTGGCTGTCCCTGGCTTTTTTGGCACCAGGGACCAGTTTTGTGGAAAATCACTTTCCCAAGGTTTCAGGATGATTCAAGTGCACTACATTTATTGTGCCATTTATTTCTGTTATGATTGCATCTGCTTCATCTTGGATCATCAGGCACTGGATCCCAGAGGATGGGGACCCCTGGTATATGCAGTAAACCCCCTTAGACGCCAGCATCGGAGGCAGAGGACTAGTCAGTCAGTGATACGCCAGAAGGGAGCAGAGTGGTTAGACGTTCACAAAAGCTCATCACTGAGGCTGCCTTCTGCAGTCTTTGTGTTCTGGTCCTGGTCCGACCTCACGCAGGATACAATGTTGCACTCCCAATAGGATATTTTAGTAAGAACATTTTAGTAAGAACACAAGTTAAAGATATTCCAAGTGAAGGAAGGATACACTGAGGCTTCTGGAAACCATGATCCCACAAAGCGTGGGTGTGTCTGGCCTGGGAAAGACAGGACTTGGGAGGAAGCGGTAGTGGATTTTTTTCTGTGTAGTTGCAGAGAATGGGGTGGTGGGGAGAAGTGGCGGGTGGCCCAGCCCTGCTGTAAGTGAGGGGGAGCCCCCCTCTCCTTGTCTTTGTCCCATAACAGTGGGATGAACAGTCTGTTAACTGAAAGTGCCCGACCCAAGGCCATCTCTCAGAAAACACAGAAAGGAATTCTTGCATCAGCTGAAAAGCTGATCCAGAAAAACATGAAAGTTGTTATCCTCTTATTGCAAGTCACTGTCCTGACATCCACTTAAAGGTCTAGGAACAAAACAGTATCTTTGTTTTGTTTTGTTTTGTTTCTGAATCACATGTTACCCATGACGGGCATAAGTGAGCCTTCTAGACAACCAAGCATAAAGGGATGGATGTAAGTCCCAGAAGAGGGAAGAAATGCTGGGTGAAACAACTTTGTGGTGGGTGGGCTTCCCAGGTGGCGCTAGTGGTAAAGAAGCCGCCTGCCAGTGCTGAAGATGTAAGAGACATGGGTTCGATCGCTGGGTCAGGAAGACTCCCTGGAGGAGTGCAGGGCAACCCACTGCAGTGTTCTTGCCTGGAGAATCCCATGGACAGAGGAGCCTGGCGGAGTGCAGTCCATGGGGTCGCAAAGAGTCGGACATGAATGGGACAATTTGGCATGTATGCACGCCTGCTCTTCTTTCAGATTTAGACGTAACTCAAATTTGCAGCTCCCGGGAGTGTGATTATATATTTGGATGTGATTATATTTTAATTCCCGTGGGATTAAAATTTGTGTTTGCTCACTTAGCTATTTCCCCAAATATGGCTCTCAGCTCTATTTTTGGCATTGTTTTCGTTGGCAGCGATAACATGTGTTGTCAGTGGTGGTACCGTTTTAGAAAATGTCGTGAAGATGTATCGTTCGTGTCTCACAGAAATGCAGAAATAAATGAGTGTGGTTGTCAATTTGTTCCCCTGATGACGGCACCCAAAAAGAGAAAGAGATTTATTGCGTGACTTTTTTTTTTTAATTTATTTTAATTGGAAGAGAAACACTTTACAATGTTGTGATGGTTTTTGGCATACCTCAGCACGAATTGGCCACAGGCATACATGTGTCCCCTTCCTGGACCATGGCTCTGTGTTCAGTGCATCTTGAGTCACGTTCTAGAAGAGGAAGAGGTACCCATTTACAGTCTCTGAAACGTTCAGAGTCTGGACAGGAGAGCCACTCTTTTACTGTGAGAGTCGCGTCCTCGGGAGACCGGCGGGAAACTGCTGGCAGCTGTGGTGAGCTTTTCTGAACCCACGGGTATCCGTGGTGACCTCTGTGTCTTTCCAGCGCCTCGTTCGATTCTACCGTCCGACTCTGGGACGTGGAGCGGGGTGTGTGCATCCACACGCTCACCAAGCACCAGGAACCCGTGTACAGCGTGGCCTTCAGCCCCGACGGGAAGTACTTGGCCAGCGGCTCCTTCGACAAGTGCGTGCACATCTGGAACACTCAGGTAAACCCCCTGCATTCCTGCTCCCCGGGTCTCCCCCCTCCGCAACCCCACACCCAATACAGTCAAGTTCTCACTGACCCATGGGCTTCCCTGGTGGCACAGGTGGTAAAGAATCCGACTGCAATGCGAGAGACCCGGGTTCGATCCCTGGGTCGGGAAGATTCTCCCGGAGAAGGGAACGGCATCCCACTCCAATGTTCTTGCCTGGAGAATCCCATGGACAAAGGAGCCTGGTGGGCTACAGTCCGTGGGGTCGCCAAGAGTTGGACACGACTGAGCGACTTGACACTTTGATTTCACTTTCTTGGTGACCCCAGAACCTGAGTTTGCACTCAGGAGTGCCTCGCCTCGGACACATATCTAGACACATCCTCGGTTCCCTGGAGGGGAGCATAAGCCCACCCAGCGCCACCCCGGGCTGTCTGTGGGAGCTGGGTCGCCCCTGCCAGGGACTCGGGTTATTTTTTTTCTGAGTCCTTGGCAGGAAGCGTTGCACCCGCCACTGCCCTCCATTGGCAAGAGCAGACATTGCGTGTGGTCCCAGGATGGATGAAGCGGCCTCTTTACAATCTGCCACCCGGCTGACACTGATGAACGCGCTGTCTCAAGGGAGGTGGTGACGGGTGCCACATTAGCCAGCCTGGGGCCGAGGGTGCTCCGCTGAGACCTCGGGCTCCTCCTCACGCGACCGTGCCTTCTGGGCAAACGAGACGCAACAATGGCCCTAAGGTGGAACCAGGCTGTTGGCCGCCCTTGTGTGTGCTTGGTCGCTCAGTCCTGTCTGTCTCTTGCAACCTCAGAGACTTATGTTACGTAGCCCGCCGGGCTCCTCTGTCCACGGGATTCTCCAGGCAGGAATGGTGGAGTTAGGGTAGCCATTCCCTTCTCCAGAGGCATCTTCCCGACCCAGGGATCGAACTCGCATTGCAGGAGGATTCTTGACTTCAAAAAAATTGCCATCATCAGCCAGGTTTTGCCTGCCGTCAGCAGTTTTCATCAAATAATTTTACCCACCATTTTTTGTTTGTTTGTTTTTAAATCGGAGGATAATTGCTTTTTTTTTTTTTTAAACAACTGATTTATGCCATGCGGCAAGGGAATCAGCCATATGTATACATATGTCCCCTCTCTCTTGAACCTCCCTCTCCCCACCCATCGCAAGCCTCCAGGTCATCACAGAGTACCGAGCTAAGGTCCCCGTGCTATATACAGCAGCTTCCCACATTTTGCATTCCCCCCGGCTAAATCATTAAACTCTCTTGAGTCATTCTGAGACTCCCTTGAACGTTCAGTGTGAGTTGGACTGGTTGAAATATAAGCACATATCCGATCTTGCTGACTTTCTCCTTCCCCCGGGAGGCCTGAGCTTGTCGGAAACTAGTAGAGGCTGTCTGTCTCGGTGGGCAGCCGTGGGTCATTTAGACACCACCCCTCCCCCAACCCTGTGCCCGTAGTTCTGATTCAGATGTTCCTGCAGCCGCCAGAGCCCCTTTAACTGAAAGTTCTGTCAGCATCCGTGTCTTTGGAAGCTTCTGTGCTGACATCCCCAGTCGGGGGTGGCCTCATCAGTGTTCCCCTCGCGAGTGACGATGCCCTTGCTTTGCAGAGCGGAAGTCTCGTCCACAGCTACAGAGGCACCGGGGGCATCTTCGAGGTGTGCTGGAATGCCCGGGGCGACAAAGTGGGCGCCAGTGCGTCAGACGGCTCCGTAAGCGGCACCCTGGGGTTCCCCCGGGCGGGAGAGAGAGGGGATGCAGGGGCGAGGGGGTGGTTTCAGGGAGGGGGTCAGGAGCGGTCCAGACCCCTGAGACCCATGTGGGCGCACTCCCAGGGCCGTGACGGGCCTCGGAGATGCGTGTTGGCGAAGGAAGCATCTGGGCTGGGCGGTTCTTTGAGAGCGGATGTCTCTTCTCACTTCCTGGATGTTGTTTTTTTTTTTCTGGCGGAATTGGTGGTTCTCAGCTGGAATGATTGCACCCCTGGAGACATTGGAAGTGTCTGGAGGCATTCGGGTTGTTGGTTCTTTTGGGGGTGTGTGTGGGGCGTTGCTGGCACCTGATGTGGAAACCGTGGCTGCTGCTGCAAATCTTAGAGTGCTCGGGACCTCCCCCCACAGCAGAGAAGTGCCCCCTACCTCACAGGTGCTGAGCAACTTGGCCCACCCTTGGCTTCCACGTTTGTGCTCCCATCCGGACCCTCTGGTGACGAAGGCCCAACCTTCCATTCCACCGGTCTCCTGGGTCCCAGTAACCGTCTGCTGGTCCCCTGAGGTGTCCAGCTTTCAGATTCACACCTGCACCTTGGAATTGCCCTGAGCTGTAAGGCAGGGTGCTGACTGGCTGAGTGTCAGCCTGCCCCCCTACCCCAGATGTGTGCTGAGGCTTCAGTTGCCTTCTGCTCCACCGTATAGTGGTCTGGTCTGTGACACCCACCCACAGCCGTGGCCTGGGGTTGGTTGGTAATGATGTTTAGACACTCACCTGTCTGCTAGAGCTGGTCTGAATGAACACAGAGTGAATTCACTCTGAATGAATGTTCATTCACTCTGAATGAACACAAGGTGGACTGTGTGCAAATAAAACTTTATTTATAAACAAGTGGACGGCGGGCCAGGTTTGGTCCATGGGCGTGTGCCATCCTGTGGCCTTAAGGGCATCTTATGTGCCTCTCAAGATTTAACAGGCGCTTTTCTCTCTCCTTCCAGGTGTGCGTGTTAGATCTGCGAAAATAAACACACAGAGAAAAAAATATTATAGACATGAGAAGAGAATTCTAACGGACCAGCAGTGAACGTGTGGGGTTGTAGCACTATGCAGACACAATTCCGTCAGCTTCGAAACGGCGCCACCCTGACCTTAGGGAGTGTCCTTTGAGACCAAGTCATCCCTAGCTACCGGAGTCTCTGTTTCTTTTTTTTTTTTTTTTTTTTTTGGTAACCTTCACCGAGAAGTTTAAAACGGAAAACACACACACAAGTCCTATCAAAGGGGGAGGAAAAGGAATGGTTTCCACCCGGAACGTCCAGCCCCGGGGGAGCGTGAAGCCGCCAGCTTGACATGGTGCACAAATCGGTTTCCACCCAGAACAGGCTCCGATGGTTGAGAGGAAAAAAAAAAAGGAAAGGCTGTGCCAAAACGAAAAGAAGAAAAAAAAAAAAATGCTGTGATAAACCAAAAGGGGAGGAAAAACTCCTCCCGTCAATGGGTTTTTTGTTTCTTGGTTTTTTCCCTAAAAATTTGGACACTACAGTTAAACTCTCACAAGGACGTTCGAAAGACCAGTTTGTATGGATGAAATGGGTACCTTTGTAATCCCAACAGTTTCTATTTTCTATAATCTTTGTCCCCGTGGTTTTTCTATGGGCTGGAATCCTGTCGTCTTGGTTGGTGGGGTTGGGGGGTGGGGGAAAGGGGCGGGCCTTGGGTCCGAGGTGGAAACTGTTCCTGGGTGTCTTGCTTCTTTGCTGTTGTTTCACCCACCGGAGAGACAGCCCCTCTCTCTTGGATGTGGTGACAGTCTCTGACGACAGCTTTCTTGCCTGCATCTTCCCCTCCCCACTCTCCCACGCCCCTCCCCGTCCCCACGCCCACCCCCCATCCCCCATCCCCCATCCCCCACGCCCCTCCCCCATCCGCCTCCCTCATAGTCACCTCCCATCCTCCGTCTCAAGGGCACTTTCGGCGCATAATAAGTGCTTTACGTAAGAAGGCAGGGCAAGGGGGGCTTTTTACAGGAGGGGGAAGAAGAAAAAAAAAAAGTGACTTATAAGAGAAAGAGCCCGGAGTATTTTTGGAGAAGAAAAAAAAATATTTTTTATGTTAAAACAATTTTAAAATCGTAAAATGGCCATTCAGACATGAGAGCTTTGTGTGATTCATATTTAACAACAACAACAAAAAGATACCTTTAGGAAGAGACAGGTAGAGGAGTCCCTTCACTTTCAGCTTGGTGGAAGGCAGCGAGGGGACTCTGGGTGGGCAGCTCTGGGGTTGGCCTCGGGGCTGGTCTGTGCGGCTGGAGCGGAAGACCCCAGCCCCTTTTGTGCTCCAGGAAGACCTGGGCGTTTTGGTTTGTTTGTTTTTTTTTTTTTCCTGGTGCATCAGACCGTAGCCGCGGACAAGGGGATGCCCTGGAACCCAAGAAGCGTTCCCAGAACCAGCATCAGTGAAAGGGGGCCGTCGGAACCGCCCCGCTCCACACCACCAATGCCGCCTAGTTCAAGACTCGGGGCCACAAGTGGGTCCCCCCCCCCCCCCGCAAAACCAGAAGCAGTTTGGCCAAGTCCCTCCAGGGCTGACCAACCGGAGGGGCCTCTGGGACCTCATGGGGTTTCCCAGCGACAGAAGCAATCGGGGAGAGCTTTTCAGTCCTGGGGGGTGAATTAACAGATGTAGGGTGTGTTCACAGGTCATCTTCACAGTTTGCTTCCTCTGGCAGCAGCTCAGGAGAAAGGAATTGTCCTTTTTTTTTTTTTAAACAAATCTTTTTACTGTTTTTAAAAAAAAAAAAAATTAAAACATGGCTTTGTTTGTCCCTAGGGCAGTTTTCCTTTCCCTTGGATCAGGTGATCTTTGTATTTAACAGTTGTCTTGACCCAATGCTGACTCAGCTTGTAAATTAGCAGCAGGGCCTCTGGGCTTATCTGTCTTCCCCCAGCCGGCAGTGGGGCTGGCAGTGGGTGGGTAGGTTGCAGCCCTCTTGTGTTCCAGCAACCAGCCCGGATGGTATACGGAGGGTGGTGGTATCTGTCCATGGACCCAAAAGCCAACCGCAGGGCATGGCCAGGCCTTTGTGCAGAAGTTGCATTGTCCCGGGAGCAGCCCCAAAGCCAGAGTGCATTCATCTCTCTCAGTTCATTAACGAGTCTCCATGGATCTGAGAGTTTTTCAAACCGCCCCCCCCCCACCCCCAACGGTAGAAGGCCAAAAGGCACTCTGTTCACAGGTCGGGCGTGTTATTCAGGCTCTGCTGTATCTAAACGCTTAGCCTTTCAGAAGAAGGTCAGTGTTCTGTTAGAGTCTCCACTCCCACCTTTGAAGATAGCAGACGCCCTCAGGGGTCCACGGATAATCACTGCTCCCCCCACCACCCCCAAAATGACTAACTTGGAGATGCAGTTTGCAGAGGTCTAGTCGAACACCGTATCTGTACCCCTCCCCGAGTAAAGACGTGTCCCTCTCCACACAGCATCAGCTGTCCGGGGTCCGGACGCAGTTTGCGGTTGATGAGCCAAGTGCTGCTGGAGGGTGGTGATGGTGGGATTCGGTGTAAAAGGCTCGCGAGAGGATCATCACGGGGAGGTCGGTACGCCGGGCCTCCCAAGCGTTGACGCTGGCCTCCTGGTGAGCCTGAACCAGGCTGGAGCCAGGGGGCAGATGTAAGGCCAAGGACGCGGACTGGATACCGGGCGTGGCGACGACGTGACGCTGCTGAGGAAGGCAGAACTGCCCGTGTACCATCGCGGAAGAGGCCCCGGGCTGGGGACCACGAGGAGGAGGCAGCCAGCATCCCTGGAAGCCATGCCTACCCTGAGTCACGCCCGCTGTGCCCCCTGGCAGCGCTCCATGGGCACATGGCCTCGTTAGCGCAAGCAGCTCCCAGACGTCGTGGAGAAGCGCTTCGCGGTCCTCACTGCCCGGATGGGACCTTGGTGCTGAAAGCAGAGGATAACACACAGATCCATCCCCGGAATCGTCCGCCGCGCCGGGGAGCTCGTCCGGCACGCGCACACGCGCGCAAGCCCGCGGAAGCACGTCCGATGCCACTCGACGGCTACAGAACCGCAGTGTTCACTTTGTCTTTCTGAAAAGAGATCTCGGAGCCAAGCGAAGTGCACTTTGTCGGGAGTAAGGGTCTACTTTGTTCGGTGTTTTTTCTTTTTTTTTTTTTTAACCTTTCAGCCCACTTTTTTGTTGTTGTGGTGGTTTTTTTTTTTTTTTTCCGATCGTGTTTCCCATCCAATGCAGAGTGTCTCCCTCCCTCCGCTCCCCGAGGCTTGTGAATTTCTGGCTTCTGCGGTTTTTATTGTCTGTGTCAGACGTACAGCCAGATGTCCTGTCCGCATCTTCCAGCTTCTGTTCCATCCACACGGCCCCCACCCCCCACCCCGTTCTGTTCTCTCCACCAGTCCCCCACGGCAACCCTCACCCTCACGCGCTCCTGGAAAGAGAATCACCGTGTGTGTATGTGTGTGTGTGTGCGTGTGCGTGTGTGTGTGATGGCTCATTTGTTCCAAGAGAGAATCAACAAACCATATTCGGTTGTCTTGAATAAATTGCTCTATTTTGATAGAGACCTTTCCGCGTGTGCTTTCTTGTTCGTCTGGGGGGGCCCATGCTGACTGCTATGCTGAGTCAAGTCCCCAAGCTCTTTTTTTTTTTTCTCCAGGAGAGATAGGTAGGGGCTGGGGCTCCTTTTACAACCGGCTGGGTGTAAGCCAGGTGAAGAGACCAGAGGGGTGTAGATGCGTTAGGATGTGAAAGGTGAGCATGCTTTTTTTTTTTTTTTTTTTTTTGTAACTAGTTTCTTTCTCGTTATTTTGTTTCAGGCTGGCTGTTTTAGAAAAGTCTTAAAGCAGATGGATGTTCTGTTGGCAGGCTTGGGTCACTGGAAGTTTTTGAGTTCCATGGTGAATAGACTTAGAAGAACCTAAAGTCATAGGGACGGCCGGTGACCACAAGCAGACATGTGCAGACGGTGACCGGTTCCCTTTATGCGGCTGTAATCCGTAAACAGAACCCACATGGTCACTTTGAAGCGATGTCCGCCCCACGCCCAGTGACAGGCAGCGGGGAACTGACACAGAGGCGGCCAGACGGGCTGCATCTGGCCATGCATGGGAATCACCCCAAAGAGCCTCGGGCCACAAGCTGACCCTGCGTGGGAATCGCGCCAGACCTGGGCTGTTGCTTCTGCCCCAGTGTTGCTGGGGTGCAGACCTGCCCGATTCTATATTTCTCTCTCTCTTTTTTTTTTTGGTAAGACCGAGGTGACCAAGCGTGCTCTCACGCAGCGGATCTGGGGTGAAGCTCTGAGCACTCTCGAGCGCTTCTGCTGAAGAGTCCGGGGTGACCTGTGTTGTGAACCCACCAGGGTACATGTTGCGTGGCAGGACTGAAGCACCGGTAAACGAGGGTGGTGGAACTTGGGCTTCCGTAGCTGCAGCAACACGCTGGTAGCTTAGTCACAGCTTCAAGGAGGCCCGTTTGTGCTGTGATGGAAACGGTTGAGACCAGATGGCCCGAGCTTTTACCTAACTATCATCTCTATGGAACACTTTGCTGCACTGATTCTAAAAATATTTGTCTATTGAGACCCCTCCCCTCCCCAATTTGTTTTGGGAATCCGAGTTTCCACTCACAGAGCACAGAACTTGTTTTTTTTTTAGGGGCCCACATCTGGGTGATGTTCCTAAAAGATCTTTGAGGTGTTCTTCATATTCACAGGGAGGTTTCTGTGCCTCTGTGGGCACTGGTCTTGGTCACTGTTGGTGATGGGAGCCTGCAAATCACTAGTTTACATGCATGAGAAGGCGTGGGCAGCAGATAATGGACCTTTATAAAAGACTCAGGATTGGGTGGAATTTTGGGGTTTTTCCCCCAGCCTAGCTCCCTTTTTCTGCAAAGTGTCCTCATCCAGGCACAAGGTAAGCAAAGTGAAGATAGGGTCCATCCGGAGAGCCGCATGGGAAATCGAGTGGAGGGAGACTCCACAGGGGTTGGGGCAGGTAGGGACTGTTACAGTGTTACCTTCCCCTGAACCTTGAAGTTAATAATAACTCTGGAGCATGGGAGCTCCTATAAAGAGAAACACTTATGCTTGAGCCGAGTTACTGAGAGAAACTCCACCAAAAACATGATTGTGAATGAGGAGGTGGGGAATCTGCAATAGGGCAAAGAGTAGGCTCATTTAAACACTTTCCAAGGCTATGGTTTTTCCAGTGGTCATGTATGGATGTGAGAGTTGGACTATAAAGAAACCTGAGCACTGAAGAATTGATGCTTTTGAACTGTGGTGTTGGAGAAGACTCTTGAGAGTTCCTTGGACTGCAAGGAGACCCAACCAGTCCATCCTCAAGGAGATCGGTCCTGGGTGTTCACTGGAAGGACTGATGTTGAAGCTGAAACTCCAATCCTTTGGCCACCTGATGCAAAGAGCTGACTCACTGGAAAAGACCCTGATGCTGGGAAAGATTGAGGGCAGGAGGAGAAGGGGCTGACAGAAGATGAGATGGTTGGATGGCATCACTGACTCAATGGACATGGGTTTGGGTGGACTCCGGGAGTTGGTGATGGACAGGGAGGCCTGGCGTGCTGCAGTCTGTGGGGTCGCAAAGAGTCGGACACGACTGAGCGGCTGAACTGAACTGAAAGTGAAACTGTTAGTCGCTTCAGTCATGTCTGACTCTTTGCTACTCTTTGCTATTGTGTGTAGCCCACCAGGCTCCTCTGTCCATGGAATTCTCCAGGCAAGAATACTGGAGTGGGTTGCCATTTCCTTCTCCAGGGGATCTTCCCAACCCAGGGATTTAACCCAGGTCTTCTGCATTGCAGGCAGATTCTTCACTAGCTGAGCTACCAGACTCTGGTGAATGGAAGCCAGAGTGACTGACAAGTATACTAAGCAGCTCTGGGGTATTCCAGGTGTGGGGGCAGGACAGACAGAAGCAGCCACAGCCAGGCACAGAATTGGGCCCATGCAGGTAACACACACAGCAATGGGGAGCTGCCACACCTCAATGCCAGACGCTGGGCTGGCCCCTAGGAATTCACCCAGGCTGCCTTCCAAAGCAGACGTTCCAGCTGCCAACCCCTCCCCAGAATTGCTTCTGCACAGCCCATTGCCTTGTGCATCAGCTTCCAACGTTGAATTGGGGCATGAGTCTCCTCGGCCACGCCAGGCCCGTCTGAGACACGCTCTAGCTGCAAGGGAGCCTGGGAAAGCCAGCAGCTAGTATCTTTGCTCTAGAGTTGGGTTGGGGCTGTGTCTTGCTCGGCAGGGGGAACCCTCAGAGGAGAGACCTCGGGGCTTCTGATGATTCGGGCAGACAGGATATCAATACAGAGGTTAAGAGCCCAGAAAAGCTCAAAAGTCCTTTTTACCGCTGCTGGACATTTTGGGTCATGGTCATGGGATGCCCTGAATCCCCTCTGTGGCCCTAGGACTCCAAAAGCACAAATGCAGAAGCAGCCTGGACAGCTTTCCCCCAGCAAGACAGAGTTCTAGTCTTGATGTGAATGAGGGTCACATGGCAAAACGGAGAAAGTGGTGTGTGCTTGTGCCATAGACTTATCTAGGTGGCTTGTGTCTCCTGTGTGTAGTATGTACAATATTTTTGTCCCCCAAAACGTATATACACATGTATGTTTATAATACATAAAGTCTGTAAACGGACAGTCTTCCACACTGCCCTGCAAATGTAGACCTTGCAGATGTGGATTTTGGTATCCATGGGGGTCCCAGAGGATGAGATGTTTGGATGCCATCACCAGCTCGATGGACATGTCTTTGAGCAAGCTCCGGGAGCTGGTGATGGACAGGGAGGCCCGGCGTGCTGTAGTCTATGGGGTCGCAGAGAGTCGGACACGCTGAGCGACTGAACTGAACGGAAGCCTCCCTTAGACTGAATCACCACCGTTCAACACAGCTGAGGACCCACCAAAGGCTAACCTGGTGGTCCAAGCCTGCCCTCCTCTGCCCGCTAGTGGTGGATGAGGAACTTGCTCCCAGGTGCGTCACCGGTCCCTGCATCATCACTTATCTATTAAACAAGAGCATTCCCTTAGAGGTATTATTCAGACAGACCCCAAGTCAGGCTGGGAGCTCGGACACAACTACTTCTTTATTGTCATTATTAACTCTTCCAAGGACCTGGGTCTGGCGTTGACATTGCAGCCAGATGAGAAAAACGAACGTCCACGGACACTCAGGACAAGCTACTGGTCTCGAAGGAAATCTGCCTTTTGTTCCCAAGCACAGGCTTACGGTGGGCCTCTGCATCACACAGAGGCTGCCAGGGAACACGCTCTTAACTGTGATGGCAGGAAGATTCGGGGGGCTGCGGGGGGGGCATACACTACACGCCGCGGTGTGCTGACTGCAGGGGCGAGAGCTCTGTGTAAGGGATGAGAACCCTCGCGTCTGAAAACACACACAGAGGGCCTAGACAACCCCCTCCCCTCCCGCCCCAGCCCCGTCTCGTCCTCTCTACGGGTCTCCTCGGACTTGCGGAACAGAGTCCGCCGCCTTGCCGCCGCGGGACTCACTTGCTACGTGGATTTCGATGGTGCTGCCGTCGGAACCTGGGGAGGAAGAAAGAATGTCACGGGTCGGCGTTAAGTGTCTGGGAGTGCCTTTCACAAGTTGCACGGCCGCATTCAAAAGAGGAAAAAAGAAAAATGCACAATACGTCCACCTACGTGGGATTAAAGCATCCCAAAGGACGGAGCGAACCCTACAGAATCATCTCGGGCAGCTTGATTCACGTCATGACTGTATCCACCCCACTAGCCTGCCTTGAGACACTCTCAGCCAAACCCCGTGGACGATGCAGAGCAAATGGAAACCAGGCCTGTTGACCCCGCGCAGCGTCGGGGCCCTGGGACTTGCACTAAATCAGGGGTCTGTGGTCCTAGAGGGGTCACTCGGGCAGTGGTCACCCGGCAACCACTGGCGCAATTCCAGGAGGTGCCCGGAGGCCTTCTCTTGCTAAAACTGAGAGTGGCCTTTTCACGGATGATGCCACGTGGCTGGAGGAAGAGGAGGAAGGGTGTGGGGAGCCATCAGTGGGATGAAAAGCCAGGCGTCATTGGCCAAAACTGTACTCCTAGAGGCCCGTTTAATCCATCCCAGTGACACAGATGTGCGAATTATTCTCTCAGGGCAGAAATATCCAGGATTGCCTGCTGTTGTGCCAGGTTCTAGGGGTGTGCGTGCGTGCGTGCGTGCGTGCGAGGAGTGAGCCATGGAAGACATAGGGAAGGGTGGCCTTTTCAACTGTGCATGAGGCAGGTGAAAACCTCCAGATCCCAAATTCCCTCAACCTACATGCCCTGCGGACGGCTGCAGCCTGTTCCTGTCACAGCCCTCTGCTCACTCAGAACCTTCAGGCACAGGCTTCTTTACACCCAACCTCAGTCCTGCCACAGGGCCTTTGCACGTCCCCTTTTCTGCCTATGAAACTCTCTGGATTTTCTTGTGGCCCACTCCCACACTGCACTCAGGTCTCAACTCAAATGTTACCTCATTCTCAAGGAGGTGTCCTGGACACCTAGCTAAAACCAGTCTCCTGCCCTCTACGGATATGCCCTTGTTCACAGCACTTCCCTTTTCCTTTATTTATATTTTTAACTTTTTTAATTTCGATGAGGTCCAACCTTTTTTTTTTTTCCTTGAGTCGCCTGTGCTTTAAGTGCGTTATTTTAAATTATTTGTTTGTAGCTGTGCTGGGCCTTTGTTGCTACACGTGGGCTTCCTCTAGTTGCGGTAAGCGGACTTAGTGTGGTGGCTTCTCGTTGCAGAGCAGACTCTAGGGTGCACGGATTTCAGTATTTGTGACTCATAGGCCGAGTAGTTGGTGGCACACAGGCTTTGTTGCCCCATGGCATGTGGGATCTTCTTGGACCAGGGGTTAGACCAGCGTTCCTTGCATCGCAAAGCAAATTCTTAACCACCAAGAGTCCTTCACAGCACCAAGGACCACCAAGGAACCGCTGAGGTCCTTCATAGCACTTCCCGGTCAGGACTTGTGGTGCATGGGCTTCGTTGCCCCCTCAGCATGTGGGAGTTTTCCAAACCCAGGGATCGAGCCCGTGTCCCTGGCACTGGCCAGTGGATTCTTCCCCATGGACCACCAGGGACATCCTTCAATTCTTTGTGATTTTCATTCTCTCTCTGCCGCTAGAATGGAAAGTGTCGTGGACAGTGCATTCATCTCTCTTAGTTGCCGTAGTATGTGTGGCCCCTGGCACATAGAAGGGACTCCATAAACAAATGTGGGGTGCATAAATCTTCTGAGGTCACAGCCTTGACATCAGGGGGAGGCAACACAGGTCCCTCTGAGCATTAAGACACTGATGTATCAAGACAGGCAGAAACGAGCCCTGTTTAACGCGTGCAGAGTTTTGGAGACTACTCAAGGAAGGGAAGAGAGAGCCTCAGGGAAGTAAATACCTGGAGAAGCCTGAGATACAGGAAGGGGCTATGATTATGACCAAGAAAAAGCAAGTGTGTGCCTGTAGCGTCTCCATGACCACCACACGAAACCCCACCACGGCCTGCGTGGGGAGAGGCACTCGGAGGGTCCTCCTGGGGCGGGATGAAGATGCGTCCAGGGGGATCTAGGTTGGAGTAGGTCATACCAAGAGCGACGAGCCCCCAGAGAGCAGAGGAATTTAGAAGATGGGGGGTGGGGGAAGGGCTCACGTCAACGGCCATGAACCCTGCAGCCACATCTCAGGAGAGTCCAGGTTGCCCATTGAGATGGTGGGAGCAGCCGTTTTACTGGAGCAGAGAACCCGCTCCTCCTGGAGACCAGGCAGTCAGTTCAGTTCAGTTGCTCAGTCGTGTCCGACTCTTTACGACCCCATGGACTGCGGCACGCCAGGCTTCCCTGTCCATCACCAACTCCTAGAGCTTGCTCAAACTCATGTCCGTTGAGTCAGTGATCCCATCCAACCATCTCATCCTCTGTCGTCCCCTTCTCCTCTCACGTTCAATCTTTCCTAGCATCAGGGTCTTTTCCAAGAAGTCAGTTATTCGCATCACATGGCCAAAATATTGGAGTTTCAGCTTCAGCATCAGTCCTTCCAATGATTATTCAGCACTGATTTCCTTTAGGATGGACTGGTTGGGTCTCCTTGCAGTCCAAGGGACTCTCAAGAGTCTTCTCCAACACCACAGGTCAAAAGCATCCATTCTTCATCGCTCAGCTTTCTTTATAGTCCAACTCTCCCATCCATACATGACCACTGGAAAAACCATAACTTTGACTAGACAGACCTTTGTCAGTAAAGTAATGTTTCTGCTTTTTAATATGCTGTCTAGGTTGGTCTTAGCTTTTCCTCCAAGGAGCAAGCGTATTTTAACTTCATGGCTGCAGTCCCGAACTTCAGTGATTTTGGAGCCCCCCAAAATAAAGTTTCTCACTGTTTCCATTGTTTCCCCATCTATTTCCCATGAGGTTATGGGACTGGATGCCATGATCTTAGTTTTCTGAATGTTGAGTTTTAAGCTAAATTTTTCACTCTCTTTCATGATCATCAACCGGCTCTTTTGTTCTTCTTCACTTTTTGTCATAAGGGTGGTGACATCTGTATATCTGAGGTTATTGATATTTCTCCTGGCAAGCTTGATTCTGGCTTGTGCTTCCTCCAGCCCAGCGTTTCTCATGATGTACTCTGCATGTCAGTTAAATAAGCAGGGTGACAATATACAGCTTTGATGTACTCCTTTTCCTATTTGGAACCAGTCTGTTGTTGCATGTCCAGTTCTAACTGTTGCTTCCTGACCTGCACACAGCTTTCTCAGGAGGCAGGTCACGTGGTCTGGTATTCCCATCTCTTTAAAAATTTTCCACAGTTTGTTATGATCCACAAAGTCAAAGGCTTTGGTGTAGTCAATAAAGCAAAAGTAGATGTTTTTTCTGGAACTCTCTTGCTTTTTCAATGATCCAGCAGATGTTGGCAATGTGATCTCTGGTTCCTCTGCCTTTTCTAAACCCAGCTTGAACATCTGGAAGTTCACAGTTCATGTACTGTGGAAGCCTGGCTTGGAGAATTTTGAGCATTAGTTTGCTAGTGTGTGAGATGAATGCAATTGTGCGGTAGTTTGAGCATTCTTTGGCATTGCCTTTCTTTGGGATTGGAATGAAAACTGACCTTTTCCAGTCTGGTGGCCACAGCTGAGTTTTCCAAATTTGCTGGCATATTGAAGGCAGCCCTTTCACAGCATCATCTTTTAGCATTTGAAACAGCTCAACTGGAAACCAGGCAGCAGCTGGGAAGACAACTTCCAGTTCCGAAACTGCATTCCTGCTGGAGGCGCTTCACAAAGGCTTTGATTTCTCACAGGGTCACCCCACACTGTTAACGCTCACATCCTGAGCTCGTGGGAACTTGTGTGCAGTTTCTGTAGTTCTTGCAGAAAGACCATGACCTGGAGGGTCACACGGTGGCTCATGATCGAGGTCTCAGCTGAGCACCCACCCTTGTGACCTGACACTTTAGGGCATGCTCTTCACCCTGTGTTTTTTTTTTTTTTCTTCAAAGTTCTTGCATCCTTCGCTGTCCTCTCAGGCTCCACAAACGAGACCCCTTCTTGCCACAACCGCCCTATGAGTTTCAGATGCCAGCACCATTGCAGATGACCCTTTCTCCCCCCCTCCCAAGCCTAGCCCCACCTGGGCTGAGTTGGTCTGCTGTCTGCACCGAGTGCTTTCCAGCATGTCTGCCTTTCCATAGGTTTCTCGTCTGGTCTTAGCAAATCCAACAAGGCCGTGGTGGGTGTGCACTCATTCTGCATCGGTGGTGTGTGAATACCCGAATGTCCTTGCAGGAAGTCCAGCTGCTGGTGACCTCATAGTGCCCAAGGGCCAGGGCCCCTTCCTAGCAACTCCCAGCAGTGAGCCTCGCCAGTCCAGCCGGGCTCTTGGGAGCTTCCTGTCTCCAGGTAGACCTACCATTCGGGGAGGCATGTCGTCTCTTGGGCCCTGGGCCATTGTCTCTTGTTTCCCTTGACACCTCAAAGCCCTAGATGGGCAACCCCAACCGGGAGGCACAGAGCATAAGCTATAGAGAACGTGTGACACCTAGCCCTGAATCCCCTGCAAGTTGTGGAATCACCTTCAAGGTTTAGACAGCCTGGCAGATTGGAGGCCCTAGGGGTGTGTTAAGTCCCTCACTCCCCTGGTATTGGCAGCCCATGGAGCCACCTGGAGTTTTGTGGACTGCACGTGGGTGGCAGGAAAGAATAAGAGACAACAAGACGGATGAGACAGAATAGAAACACGTGGAAGGTCACGGGAAAGCGTGGGACAGAACAGGGAACTCTGAAGATCAAGGGAAGAATTGTGCAAAACAGAACCATGTGTAGGGGGAGAACAAAGAAAGTGGAAACAGGGAGTGGAGGGAAAGACAAGGTCTTGTGAGAGCAACAGAATTGCAGAAGAGGAGAAAACTGCAAGAGGGAGATGAGGGATGATGGGGGGAAAGAGAACCGTGAGAAAGAGTGGCATTCAGAAGAGAAAACGGAACTTTGGGAGCCACGGAATTGTGTCGGAGGATACAGAGAGGTGGGAGAGACA